GCCCTTCTTGCACATCTACAGGTCGCTGGGTTCTGAATGACACCATCCATATCCGATGTCTGTAGGGAAATGGCAGAGCCTTCTGCTAGAAATTCGTAAATGAAATCACTAATGCAGACAGACTTGGAAATTTCTAATATAGCTCTGTAAAGAGCTAGGAGAACCCCAGACAAAAGGTGCTGTATTGGGGAAGAGAATTATTAAATATGATGGCTGCTTGGAAATCAAAGCAGGTTTATAAAAGCCCCTACACATTTCCTTTGTGTGAAACTGCATTTTCCCGGCTTTTTTAAACATCTAGGAGGAGGTCTGGGGGTGAGGGGGAAGGTAAAAATTGCATCACCTGCAGATTATTTTTGACACCCCAATCCCACCATTCTGTAAACTACATAGTTTAGGGTTGTAACTTGATGAGAAGAGGGAGGAAGATGATAAGACAAGATCCAATCCTGCAAAGCACTGAGCATCCTTATTTCCTATTTGCCTGCACAAGAGTGTAAGGTGCTCAGCAGCTTCCAGGGGCCAGGAACAAAGAGAAAATCACAGATTGCACACATCCCATTCAGCTGCCCCATATAAATATACTTTATAGGCACACATGCACAACACATAAATGCATTTCAAGGAAACAATGAATAAGGCTACATCCCCATTCCAGGATTTGGTTAGCATTGCAAAATATTAAGGGCTGGATCTGGGTGTAAATCATGGTACATCCACTGACTCCAGAGAAGCAACGCTGAATTATCCAGGCTGAGAATCTGGCATAACAGCTGTGGGGGCCATACCACTGCCAGATTTATCTGATATTAGTTTCTACACAGATACCTTTATAACACTGGGAAGTCTGAAACAGCAAGCGGATGGGTCAAGTGATGATCCAAAAACCCATGTAATTATGGAAAAACAACTTTGCGGGTCAGAACTGGGCCACTGTGGCCTTCATATCAGGCCTGTACAGCCAGACAAGGGGGGCAGAAATCAATGGATAATGAATAAAAAACACAGTAAGCTTCTAGATCATTTAAGATCCTTTACCCACCAGCATGTGCATTTGAAGAAGCCATGACTCAGGATGAACCTGTTCTTTTGAACAGCAAACAAAAAGGGTGGGGGGGAAAACAATTTAAGAAAGAAAAAAAAACCTTTCTACTCACCTCACAGTCAGGCCTGACTTCAGCTTGGCTGTGAGCAGAATAGAAAGAGTGCCAGGGACAGCCTCATGTTCCACAAACCCTTATGTGCAATGTTAATGGGCAGTGGGCAGTTCTGTAGGGAAACTAGACAATGGAGAGGTAGAAGGTATTTATTTTGTTTTTACTGATATTTCTTGTATAAGTTTGCAGTGCTTAAGGGTGCTGAACGACAACCCTGGAGGTCTCTTGTCACACAACAAAAATATAATGATTACAGCAGTTCAAGGCCCCCTGTCCCCACCCAACCCAAACCTATAATGAACCCATCAAGGAAGGGGTGTGCCTCCATAGATCATTTAGTTCCTGGATTCTCTACTGAGATTACTAACATAAGGGCCAGTTATACTGGCACTGTTTTAATACCACTATCTACTCGGTCAAAGCTGGCCTAAGACCAAGAATTCATGTCACAAAGCCCACTGGCCAAAAGAGAGAAACAATTTTTGGTCACTAGGAAAGCTGGAAGCTGTAGGGGAAGAGTAGCAGGGGACAATCACTCTGGATAGACCCTGCATAAATAGCCTTCCATTTGCATCCACTCTGTGCCATTGTGAGACACAGGATACTATGCAAGGTGCACCTGTGGTCTGATTCAGCATGGCATTTATTTTCTTATGTACTGCTTACCTGAACAGAATTTCAAGCAACAATATACAAGTGGAAGGCTTTCCCCACCACTAGCAGTCTTTCCTGAAGAGGCATTTGCTATTATTTGCTACTCAAAGGGTCACTCTATTCTTCCAAGTTTGATTTTAAATGAATTATGCTGAATTGGTGGAATTGTGACATCGGGGAGAGGGGTTGTGACATCAGTGGTATCTTGACCAATCATTAGTCTGATTCACACACTGAAATTCTAATGGTGAAATTGCTGTTCCAATTGTTCGGTGGGTTTTTTTTACATTTCACAGTCATATGTCGTGGGCATGGAGAAAGGTCAGGATGGGTGAAGAAAGTGTGACTACTCAGGGCCTATACACTATGTTAAGCTCCATCATCAGTCTCAGTTTTACTCATGCTAAAATGGCCAGCCAATTATTTTACAGCACTGACATATAAACTCAATCCTGGGTCTTTATGAAGGCAATTGAAACCTCGCAAGACTATGATTTGAAGCTGGCTTTCTACAGTCAGAAAGTCAGCATTGCATCAGGTCACGTTTAGAAAGATTATCTTTGCCATCAGAAAGTTGAAAAAAAAAATGACAGAGCCATCAAAGAACTGCTGGCACTCTGTAGACTGTGTGTTGCTACATCCAGGACCTCATAGTGACCTCACAGATGTGAAGTCTAAACATCTCACAACATCACAAGCGTGAAAAAACTTTTCCTCCATACAGCTACCTGGTGAGGGGAATTTTAACCACCTGTAGGGAATATCCAGTCACATTAGATTTCTCTCTCTCTATAACCATCTTTCTGTTTTTCAACAGCTTTATAGAAACTTTTTTTCCAATCAATTAATAATGCTAACCAAAAGCCATGTTACAATAAAGTCAGGTAATTCAAGCCCTGGACAGATATGCTGTTTGAAGAGCTCCAAATGCCTTTGAAGCCCTCCAAACAGTGTCCCGCTGAAGAAGCACCTGAAAAATAGCAAAGCACTTCAAAAATGATTCTTGAAAAAAAAATCCACATCTTTGAAACGCTTCCTTTTGAGGCACTTCCTGAAATGTCTGTCTGCTCAACTGGTCCTTTGGCTCAGCTCACAGTGCTCAGTTCTCCACAACCCCCAGGGGGGCAGTGGAGAGGAGAGGACTAGGACAGACAGCCAAGGGGTGCTCTCCGGTGTACTCATCAAGCCTCAGGAATCTTTGCCATGCAAGGATTTTCTAACCCTGTGGTTAGAGAATTGTGTCACTGCATGCATTCACAGCTATTCTGAAGTGTGTTGAGGGTAGGGGACTGCAGGTCTGCATGGTGCCAAATTTGAAGTGCTCCAACCTCAGAGAGAAACAGAAGGGGTTGTGCCTCTCACTTCTGCCCCAACCTCCAGCCCATGGGCCAAATCCAGCACATGGGCTCCCCACAGGTCCAGAAATTTGGCAGCAGGGGAGTGGTGGCAATTAACAGTGGCACTGCCTCCATCCCCGCCCCCACCACCCACCCACCAAATTTCCAAGCCCTGTGGACCAGATGGCATGGCCCTATCTGCAGGGCTGACGCTGGGGGCCTGATCTGGTGCAAGGCCTGATACAGCATGTGTGGCTAGGGGTATGGGCCTGAATCTGGCATACTGGGGCTCCATCCTGTGGGCCAGATGGGTTCCCCGCCCTGCACCAAGCTGGTCTTTGCATAGTGAATTGGGCCCAGGCATCATGTGCTGGATCGGGCTATGGCCTAATGCTAGACCAGCCCTGCATGCTGGATTGGGCTCATGGGCAAGGATCCAGTCCATAGACTGACTCAGAACCACTCATCTAATCCACAGAGCCAAAAACCTGGGCATCACTGCATTAGAGTAGAGCTTTTCTTACATGACCTCACAAATACAAAGTTATCATGGGTGCATGTATGCAATCACTGGAGACCAGAAACCAAAAGGCATGCAAGGATTTGAAGGTGTGCAAAGCACTTTTATGCTGCTGTCCTTTAACAAAAATGGTCATAAAATGCTGCCTGTGGACTGAAAGCTGTAGAGGAGAGTATAAATTCAGCGTAACTAAACATTGTTTTTGTCTGAATAGCCTGCAACATGGTGCATCATGTGATAATATAAGGGAAGACCTCACTGCAGTACTACACAAAATGGTGTAGAAAAGCTGAACTGCTTGATGCTTGTGAAACTGGAATCCCGAGTGTAATGCTGAATGAACAGATGTCTTAGAAAATGGCTTCTCTGCTTGACTTTAAGTTAAATTTGACTAAGCATTTAAAAGAAAAAAAATCTAAATTCAAGACATGCAAAAACATTATAAAACTGCCCATGTGAAAAAGATATGTCTTGTTTTTTAATTTACATCAGTACATAGATGTACTAATTCATACATAGGTGTAGATGACCTGAAACGTATGAAGTGGGCTTCTCACCTGCTTCACAGGAATCCATGTATAATGTAATGTACATCCCATAGATAAAACATCTGCTCCTTATATAGCACAATCACAAATTCCACATCATTTTGTTACACAAAAACGTGAGCACGTGGGCTGCTCCCAGTGACTATCACTTTGTGTTATTATATCAGTAGCACCGTGATAACTGTGGACAGTGCTGTTGTTATGCACGTACGGCGATTATAATTGTTTCCTTTATATATGCACGGGGACTCCAGTAGATCTCCTTCAGCAGACGCTGTTGGACAATTCTGTCATTGGGTGCAGAAAACAGTTACCTAGGTTATTCAGAATTTCATATGTGAGAGGGGAACAGGAGATCAAAGAAGGGCTACAGGATGAGAGAAAACAGCAACAGCTAAAAGTTGTCTTAACCAAAGAGTGGTAATGTAGTGGGACCCTTTGCAGCACTACAGTTAAGGATGGGAGTAGCTTATTGTCTCATTGACATTATAAGCACTACTATGCAGCGGTAAGATATGCCACACACCCTCAGGGTTTAGCCGGTGACAAGATCAACATTTATTTCAATGTAAGTGATTTGACGGAAATAGGAAGTAGTTGCAATAGGACCCTGCAGGAATTTAATGGTGTTTAAAGAAATGTGTTTCTTCAATTCAGGCTGCTCCCCTTCATCATGTCTGCTCTGTGTATAACTCAGAACTGGAGACACCTGCATCCAGCTAATCCTGGGGAGACCTGACTTCCACGGGGAAGGAAAAGGAAGATGCATGTGGTCCACAGGTACCTGTGATGTCTGTCTGGGCATCTTCAGCCTCGGCAACTGCTGCTCGGCTCTTCCTCTCAATCTCTTTCATTTCAGGCACGTAGAAGTCCCATTGGCGGGCAAGGGGACACAAAAAATGTATTTGGTCTCCTTTGTAGATCTCCAGCCTGGGATAGGCACACAGCTTCCTCTCCTGAGAGAAAACAGGCACACATAATGAGATATAATCCATTACAAGGCTACATCTCCACATGACCCCTTTGATCAGCAATTCCCGGGGACTTGTGAACCTGCATCTACTATTGGTTGCAGGCAAATGTGTATTTGTTCAGTTGCTTGGATCATATCCCCCAAGACCCAGGATGCCTGAACCTGTGAGAGGCTGAGCACCTTCTGACAGATTGCTGAAGACCCTCAATTTGCCAATTAGCCAACATGCAACATGAACACAGAAATACCACAGAGAAAATAGATTAGAGGAGATAAAAGATAGTCAAGGGAACTATAGGATGCTCATAACATCACAGGACAGGGCCCCAGGAACTACTGAAATGACACTGTGCTGATTTCCACGCATATGTCCTTTCAGGCACCACAAGAGCAATGAAGGGATGGTGGGACCCATCTGAGGAGCACCAGTTGTACACACGTGAATGTGAGCGCATAGCATCCTTTCTTTTCACTTGTGCCACCCCAGCCCCCCACTCATGGTATGAAAAGAGGAATTCTGTTCCTAAGCCATGGAGAAGCTGTTCATCTTCCAGCGTCCTGTCAAAACCTGTGTTCTTCTTGGTGGTAGAAGGGGCAGCTTCTCTCCCACAGAAAGCCCTGCCATCAACTCATGGCCACTAAGCACAGCAAATTTAACACCCAATAATTTACTATTAGATGACTGAGTCAATACTAGTTTTCAGCATGAGTGTTTTGGAAGAGGCTTAGATGATAATGAGCCTGGAGCCAATGTTGTGACAAGCAGTTCTTCCTTTGCCTGGCAGCTTCAGCTGAGAAAGGGTGGTGAACTCTGCATTAGTCGAGCTGGGCTGTGTTGAAGACCCTTCAAATCTGTACTTTTTAGTCAGTACCCTAGTCATATTAACAAGGGTTTCACCAGGGGATTGCTTTTACCAGTTCTGCATGCATACTGCATCACTGTACAGCACACCATCCCCTTCTAACCTACAACAGAGCTTGACTACCTGATGACAGCAGGTGGTACCAACATCAGTGGAAGCTACCCCCCAACCCCGTCTCTTTCTATTCCCAGGGCTTTATGTCCAACATGTAGAGAAGGGGTCTTCATTAGAAAAAAAAAGGTTTGTTTCTATCCAACATTAATCAAAATGTGTTAAAATCCCGGTGAAGACAAGACAAATGTAGTTTTAACTGACATTAACTAGTCTAGGAAAATCCTAAAGCTTTATCTTGTATAGCCCCTTCTGCCAAGGAAGCTAATAAAATGGATACTCTGTTACACCCAAAGAATTAAAACAATCTTTGGGGAAAGAGTGTAAAATCAGATCAAACTTGTTCAGATAGAACAAGCCGAAACTTATACAGAGGCACCATGGACTCGGCTCCTAGCTCCCTCCCACTAGCTCTGGCAGGAGGTCAAATTAAATAGTGGAGTGAATTCTGTTCCATTCAACTGATTTACATTGGGGCTGTACCTGGGCCTGGGTCTCTGAGCTTCACTCAGCCAAACCTTGGAAAACAGATGTTACTTTGCTGTCTGTTACTAAAGCACTTAGTAACACTGATGCGCAAGGGGGATTCCACTGAGGACCAGCTGCTGCTCCTGGCAGGGACCTGCCAAGCTTGAAACCTTTCTCCTTTGCCCAGACACAAGAGTCCTCTGAGCAGGCTCAGTGCTTCACTGAGTAATTAATATAATCCAAGCAAGACAGATAAAGAAGCTCCTTTCAGAAGTGCAAGGGAAGGAGAGTTTGAGGCTAATTCATGGGATTTCAGACACTTTCCCACCTCCTTCTCTCCCTTTGCCCTGGCTACAACCCCTCCCTCCTCATGAGCCCACTCAAAGCTCTCAGAGATCTGACCAGCCCAGCCCAGCTCTGCACCCACTGCTGGAACAGACATCTTTTTCCCGAAATCCAGGTGCCAGCTGAGCCAGCCTGGGGGTGGAGGGAGGGTCTGAATGGGAACATACTCACACTGGTACCACGCAGGATCAAACAGGCAGGGCCCAGGGGACTCACGGGGGGACAGATGCTGCACTAAAAGAACAGCTGGACCTTCTAACTAACGCCCACACCTTGCCCGCCCAACAGCTGCATTGCTTGACATCTATTATGGTTTGCCTGGCAGAGGGGCAGTTTGTTTTCGAACATGCTAAGATTTAGAGGAGGGGAGAGAAGGGAGATTAGCTTTTTCTTTTAAAATAATTGGCGACTTTATTTTGGGATGTGCAGTGTAGGCTCAAACAAATGTCCCCAAATAGCCCTTGGCTAGGAAAGCCTCTGCCAGCATACCAGGCACTCACCAGCATCATCTTTGCTCTGTAACCGGAAGGACTGGGAAGCAATGGAGACATGGTGATACACAGCTGGGTTAACAAGGCGGCAAGAAATGAGGGGCTGCTGGAGAGGGGGCTTTACACTCCAGACAGAAGGTCAAGGCATGAATGGCACTAGGTCTTGTCAACCCAAGGAGTTGGGCCTTCCACCCTAGTCTGAGAGCTGGTACTACTGTATGCAATGAGTTTGGGGGTCTCAGAGTGAACAAGCAAGCAAGTAGTAGATGGGCCCCACCCTCACTAACTGCAGTGCCAGTAAAGAGGGCCAAGCAAAATACCATCCAGGAATGTTTCTCCTCCACAAGAGGGGTAAGACTGTTCGGCAAGGAGAAGCTTGCTCAGTCACCGCCTCTTTCTATCTATTCTAAATGCTCCCACAGGCCTCTTCACTGCAGTACTTGGGCACCTTGCAACTATTTATAAATTGTATCCTCCCTTTCCCTGGGTAAAATTCTCTCCATTTTACAGATGGGGAACTTAGACCCAGTGAGATGAAGTTATTTACCCAAGGTCACATGGGGACTGTGACTCAGTGGGGAACCATACCCCAGTCTTAAATCCAGCCATATCCATAAATGATCCCCCCTGCTGATCTGATAATCCATTGCTTTTCCCCAGCACTGAGGGAATGATCACTTTTGTTTAAACAGCAAGAAGGAAAACAGCAAACAGAACATCAGATTGTGCAGAGGCAGGCATGGCCCTGACAGCTATTCCAAACCTTCCCTTGGACTGAGAGCCCACACAATGCAGGGAGTGCAGCTCTAGGCATCAGAGAGTTCCTGACACATCACTCAAAATAAACACAGATCTTTAAAGCCCTAAAGGTTCCTGCAGGAGGAGGTCTGGACCACAGCAACTCTCATCCTTGAGTTCTGACACACAAAGAGCTGCTTGGCTTAAAAACAAAAAGGATGAAGGACTGCAGGGTTCCCTGGCTGAATAAACTCAGCTGGAGTAATGGGCAAAACAGGAAACCAATGGTACCCGTATAAAGCTTGAATAAAAGGCATTTGCTTGGAGGCCTGTGTAGGGAATGTGGGTCCATGTGCCACAGGGCCCCTCTACCACTGTGAGATACAGGCACTGAGCTAGATGGACTGCTGTCTAGTTCAGTATGGAAGTTATGTTCTTATGACGGGAAAGGATGACAGATATGGGTCTGTTCAGCCTAGAAAAGGGAACACTTTAGGGAGATTTGGTGGCAGCTTACAGATATATCAGGGGAGAGCATCAGGGGCTAGGTGAACAACTATTCACCAGAGCACCCCAGGGGAAAACCAGGAGCAACAGCCATAAACCCCTAGAAGGTTTCACACACCTTGCTAGGGTTATTTGACCCCAGCAGTCTTTCTTGCCCAGAGTGGGGGGGGCTGGCCCCAAAGATCTCACAAGATCCCTTCCAGCCTAAACTTTTGTGAATCTGTGTGTGATTCATGCAGCATCTGGTGTGCAATACTAGGACACAAAGCTAGGTCTTTGTAGCCATTCATGTCTCCCAGTCCACCTGTTGTTGCATAAGAACCGGAAGGAAACTCCCCTGCTCTCAAGGATTTCACAGTGGTCCTTGCACAGAGTAACCCCTGAAGCTAGTCTCAGGCAGGGATTCTTAAGGGCGAGCTCTGTAACTCCTCTGACCAAGATGGGGCTATTAAGTTACAGCACCCCTGTTTGCTAGTCCCATCAGTAAGGCCAATTAGCTAAGCTGCTGATAGGGATCTTTGCCCTTAAAGAGAAAGCGCAGACCCAGAGGTGAAATGCAGAGAAGTAGACACTCTTTCCAGACTCAGTCAGCATTTAACGGTCAAGTCAAACACAGAAAACAGAGTCCTTGGGTCAGAACAGCCAAATCAAACTTACAGAAAGTCCATATTGGATAGAGAAGGTCTGTAAAATATGGCCTGTTGGCCAGATCCAGCCTGGGAAGCCACTGGATCCAGCTCACAGAGCTGGAAGGCTTTGCCTTTGCCTATGCTCTTACTGGAACCAGCCAGCTTCCAGCTGCGCCTGTGCTATTGCCACTTCTCCTTACCCTCCTAGCTCCAATCTGACACAGGCCAGGTGATTTTGACAGTGCACTGGGGACAGGAGGCTATGCCCTTGTCAGAGCTAGGCAGCTCAGAGCTGGATGGTATTTTGCTTGGCCCTCTTTACTACACTACACTCACGCTCCAGCTCAGAGCTGCGTCTACACTCACGCTCCTCGGCTGGGGTGTAGACACAGCTTCCAGCCAAGGCTACATGGCAATGCCCTGTGCCCAGCAGTAGTGCCCTCAAACAGGGAGTGCTCTCCACATAGGCTGGCTTTTAACTAGAAGCAGGGTAGCTGTGAGCAAGTTAATTAGCACAAGGGGGTAAAATGGCCCTTGTGCACCTGAACTACCTGAAGAACCATGGCTATTGGCTACTCTGCTTCTGGTTTGGATGGCAGTCCAGGCAGAATGGTGCAGTGAGTGTGAAAATGCCACTGCCACAATGGCATCTGCCATGTAGACCTGCCCAGTGATATCCAAACTGTTACAGAGTCCTCTCCCCTCTCCACTACTCACCCCATACCATGCATCAAAATCATAGTGATTCCTGAATAATAGATTAGCATGTCTAGGGGGAAGAAACTTCAAGGGGGTCTCAAAGCCTTCCCCTTCAGTGATCAATGGGACTAA